ATTGGATATGCGCCTAACAGCGCACATTTATCTAGGTTAAATGTTTAAATTAATACTGTGAAATGCACAAAGTGCTTTATGTCTATAGATTTTATTTTAGGCAAGTCGTCCTGTTGATTTGAGCAGGCTAAATTGATCAAACATATGCTCAACTCACTGTCAGCTGCTGGCCGCTTGGTCGTTCCTTTAAAAAATAAAAACCTGAATTTAACAAACACAAAATGTTCCAAAAATATTTCTAAGTTAACTTAATAAAGGAACGAAATGAAATATTACCACTTTGCCATTAAAAACCGAAACTGAACTATTTGAATGGCTGCAACAGCAGCTGTGTAATGGGGGGGGAGAGAGAGAGAGAGAGAGAGAGAAAGAAAAGACACAGGCTCCAGTCGGACTTGAGCTGAGAATTCTGATAAGCTGTCGGACAAGGGCAATTCAGGGAAATTGCAGGAAAATGTATTTCCTCGTTTCAATTAAAAGTTCCCCTCAGCTCGGCGGGCCCCCAGCGGGACCCATGCAGTGTACCTGCATACCTAGACGCTACGCCACTGAATATAATCAAAAAACCATGGCAACAAATGTTTTTTTTTTAAGTCAGTATAAGAAGTTTAATAAGTTGAAACAACTTTCACAGTCAATTTGATTAAACTTGATGTTTAACCGTTGCTTCTTGTCATTGTAGGCTTAGGCTACTTTTTTCAATACATTTTAATGAATATACAAATTAATAAAATGAATTTTATTTATTTTTTATTACATATTGTTCATTCATTTATTTTTAACACCGCACCCCCATTTTTTCGTGGGTGACACTCCAGGGGGTGCTGCAGCACCCCTACTTCCCGCGGTAATGCATTTGTTGCATCCAGTGGGGACATAATTACTGATTATAATGACTTATACTGTCTTTTTATGCGTTGCGTTGCATTGCATTGCGCCGCGTAAACATAAAACTCTGTCTGCATTTGTTATCAGAGAAATGACAACCAACAAGCCCTACTCTACTGCTCAAAACTCGCGTTTGAATCATCAGTGGCAAATCCTTTAAATGAAAACGTACTTACGTGAGTCAGAACTGCCGGCATTTTCAATTACACTGTACACTCTTAAAAATAAAGGTGCTTCAAAAGGTTCTTCAAGCGATGCTATAGAAGAACCATTTTTGGTTCCACAAAGAAGCATTCAGTCAAAGGTTCTTTAAAGAACCATCTCTTTCTTACCTTTTTGTAATCTGAAGAACCTTCTTTCGCCACAAAGAAGCTTTTGTGAAACAGAAAGGTTCTTCAGATGTTAAAGGTTCTTTATGGAACCATTTAGACAAAAAGGTTCATCTATGGCATCGTGAAGCACCTTTATTTTTAAGAGTGTATGTACAACCATGCTACAAACACATGGCATGTCAGTGCCAATACTACCGTTTGGGGTCAGTAAGAGTTTAAAATGTTTTTGGAAGTGTCTTCTGCTCACCAGGGCTGCAAAAATACTGTAAAAACAGTAATATTGTGAAATATTATTACAATTTCAAATAATTGTTTTCTATTTTTATATATATATTAAAATGTAATTTATTCCTGTGATGCAAAGCTGAATTTTCAGCATCATTACTCCAGTCTTCGGTGTCATATGATCCTTCAGAAATCATTCTAATTTATTATAATGTATGTAAGGGATAATCAACAGCTAGCCATGCATTAAAGGATTTTAAATGCACGACATGGAGGCAAAGAACTCCCCGATGTGAAGCATTTAAAATTCTTTAATGCACAGCTAGCTGTTGATTATCCTGCTTATTCCATGGTCATTTGCCAAGTTATAGACAAGTTAAAACTAGTATTGCTCTTTGCAGCATAATATTTGACCGAATGGGTAAAAAAGACCGTTATTTTCGTCAGTTACGGCACGTTAGCGCTAGCATTCTGTCCGCTTCAAATCATACACAGAGATGAAATAGTGCAGTAAGACCACATTTATTTGAATGAATTATAGCATATATTTCAATAAATTATTGATCGATCGTTTGAGAGAGAGAGAGAGAGAGAGAGAGAGACAGAGAGAGATGACCGGAGTTGTGTGTATCTGCGCGTCCCTCTGTACAAAGAATTACTTCAAAAACAGTGATTTTACCACCTCGTTGTTGAGGAATATAATGTAGTGATCTAGTATCTAGGCTATTTTATTAATGAAAATCACAGGGAGGCGTTGACAACAAGTTTGTGTGCAGCGCAATCAGCGTCTCTGACCTCTCTCTCGCTCTCTCTCTGTGTGTGTGTGTGTGTGTGTGTGTGTGTGTGTGTGTGTGTGTGTGTGTGTGTGTGTGTGTGTGTGCGAGCACGAGTGATGCGTGTTTGTTAGTGTGCATCAATTAAAGCAGTGCATTAATATAGAACGGTGATTAAACTGACTTGGAACTACCTGTGCATTAAACGGTTTTACTGCATACCTGCCAGCCAATCAGAATCCAGTCTTCAGACAGACCATGGAATAATATGTTATTTGAAATAGAAATATTTTATAATATTATAAATTCTTTACTGTCACTTTTGATCAATTTAATGCTCAATTGCTCAATGATTTATATGTTTTACTATGTATATTATTATTTGAAAAAACTTTTTTTATTATTAATCTTTTTTTTTTTTTTTTCTTAGTGCCAATCCAGAACATGATAGCACACTTCATGATAACACATTGGAGTTGTCCATACCTCTGGTACATGAGGTGGACACTGCAATCACAGGGTAAGAATTGCACTTCATGAGACGGCTTAAAGGAAACGTCCAACCTAAAATGTATCATTATTCATTCACCCTCATGTTGTTCAAAACCTGTGAATTGAATGTCATCAAACTACAAAAACAGACCTTAAAAGTAGTCTGTATGACTTGTGCACTATGTTCCACATATATTCTGAAGGCTGGTGATCAAAAATATGCACTTTCTTTGAATGCATAAGACCAGCGTGAACTTTGTTCACAACATCATCTTTAATTTTTCCATAGAAAAATCAGTTCATACAGGTTTTTAACATGAGGGAATGTACATTATATGAGAGTTTTCTTTTCATTTTTTGTGAACTATTCCTGTAACAGCTTTGTAGCCCATTACGCTTCCAGACGTCTGATAACAGCAGAGACATTTGTGGTCCGCTCACAGTGCTTATGTGCACATTTCTTTTTTGGCACACGTTTCTTTGCTGCGCTGGAGTAATTCAAAGTTACAGGTTCACTTGTTTCACAGATGAATGAGACTTAAATACACAACATGTTCTATAGCCAGATGTACAGCCTGATAAAGAGAACGTGCTCCCTGTAATGTTTTACACGAGTGTGCCAGAGATTACACTTTAAAATATAAACATGATCTCCAGGGGTTGGACATAAAATCAGATCAAAGTCTGTTTTTATGTCATTTAACAAGTTAACTTCATATGCATTAGAAAGTTTCTGTAATCAGTATATGAATATAAAGATTGTATTTAGTGCATATAGACAAAAATATGCAACACTCTACTGGCATGGACAAATTTCCAAGAGTTTGAGCTATAAAAGCTGCAATGTTTTACTAAAATAAAGTAATTCTGACAGCAGCCCATGTACACTATATTATACATCAAAGATACCATCAAATGAATCACGTTAAATGAGAGACAGAACAATATAGCACAATGAAGCATCACCATAGTAACTGTGAGTCCGTTTCTGCAGCGTGGTCTCGCCTACGTCTTTTGTGTATGGAAACTCAGTGGACCGATCACGCTTCGTTAAGCTGGACGACATGGAGTGCAGCTTTCAGCCGCTCAACTTCACCTTTCAGGTATCCCATACTGGAATATGTTCAAATGCATGTGAAGTTTTTCCAGTACATTTTATTGCAGAATCTGTAAGTTAGTACAGTTAGCTGGTTATTAAACCCTGACAGGGTGTCTTATTTATTTATTTATTTGTTTATGAGCACTAGCAATATCAGGGGATCAATTACTTGGTAAAATAGTTAATTATATGATGGACCTTTTCACAGGCTGTGATGATGCATTTCCAAAGTGTTTCATATTTTATTTATTTATTTTTATTTATTTTTATTTATTTTTACTATTTTATTTATGTACATTTCTATACTTTTAGTGTTTTATTACCTTGGCACCAGTGCTGTTTTAGTATCATTGATATACTACTATAGTTTTTATTAATATTGTGAATGAGTTTTTATTTATATATTGTCTGTTTTAATTTTTTTTTCTTAGTTTTCCGATATGTCTACATAGGTTTTATTGTATTTCAGTTTTAGTTATTTTAGCACTTTAAGTTAAAATAAATGAAAATGAGGACTGTTGCCTTGTCAACTAGTTGAAATAAAATAAGTTTAAGTTCTTTATATATTTTATTTCGGTTAAATTTGTTTGTTTTTTTTGCTGTTTTTTTTTTTTTCAAATAAATAATTTTTTTTATACCATAATAAACGAGCTCTAAATTATAGAATACTTCAGGATTGTTGAGGCTTAATTGGGGGCATAAGTAAATACTTTTAGGAATTGCTTTAGAGACAAAAAAAAAAAAAAACTTGGGAAATGTCTTGATGTAATCATGGTATAAGCTGAATAATTGGCACTGGATTGTAATATTATTGAAAATGTTTCATTATTGCAATATTGAAACGCTTCACATTATGCCTGTATTACATAAATTTTTAATAATTCATTGTCAAGTCAGGTTACCTTTATTTATATAGCACTTTATACAATACAGATTGTTTCAAAGCAGCTTTACAGTGATAAACAAGAAAATAATGATTCAGTTATGCAAAGAGATCAGTTCTGCTTTAAAGCAGCTCTAAAATGACAACAGTAAACAGTCACTATTCAGCTGAAATCAGTTCTTTGTTGAATCAGTTTGAATGAGTTCAATTAATCTATTAAGCAGCTCTAGGGAAAACAGTGACATCATTATTCAGCTCAATTCAGTTCTCATCCAATAGTGTCTGGGTAGTTAAGTCAGTAATATTGCCAAATATTCAGTGTCTCTAACTAAGCAAGACAAAAGGACCGATATCTGACCACAATTGACCAATCCAGAACCAAGCTGTATTACAATGTGCTTTAAATGTATATGAAGTGTATTGTTTGCTCTAGTAGCTGTTAGTTGTTGTGCTGAGCATAAATCCCAGCGTTGATCTGTTTCCTGTGTGTTGTTTGTGTAGGTGATAAACAATGGACCCAGCAGACTTCCAGGCTCCACGGTGGACATCAGGATACCCAACCGTCTGGCTGGTAACGGAGCAGATATGTTCCATATCATTGACACACAAGTGAGTTCCTGCCACTCATGCACTTGTTTATTCAGCTAAACTTCATTTGCATTGTTTTCCCTCACATCAGTTATACAGCTGTCCATTCTCATCACATTTTTTGTGCTGTAAGTGGTTTCTCTGACCTGTTCATGGTATGTATTATTGTGTGTTATTTTGAGTTACACCACAGCATTGTTGGTGTTTGAGAAAGTAAAAAAAAATATTAGTAAGAAAAATAATAATATAATAATAATAATAGTAATAATACAATTTTAATTTTTCAGTACAACTATAAAATTACAATATATATATATACACACACACAATTATAATACAATCATATTTGTGGCTGTCTTAATTTCTTCATTTTCCAACATTAAAACATCAAGCTTTTATTTTGGCTGAAAACTGCAGCTTCTGTTTTGTTGACAACAGGAGGTTTATTATTACTCATTAGAATGTTAGCACATGTTGTGTTGCCAAATGCAAACTTAAGTGTTTTAAACCCGAACTCACAGTGTGTGCAAAGCTGAGTTAATGTGGCATTTACTGTGAACCGAGCTGCTTGAATGAATGAAAATTACCACAAATTGCATCATTGCTGCATTGCAACCTTAGGGTGCGTTGGTTTGCAATAATTTCACAGCCCTGTCATCAATTATTCCTTACATATATAATTTTGCTATGTCATTTCCAAACATACACATTCAAAATAGTGCTGCAGGCATCCTGAGGGTTAATTGTCAGAGTAAGTAAGTACTTTATGGGAGCATTTTAGTGACAAAACTTTGAAAATGTCTTGATATCATGGTATAAGTGGAATAATTGATGCTAGGTTGGTGCATTATTAAAAATGTAAGGCTTCACATTATGCCTATATTACATGCATTAAATGTTCAGTGATTTTATAGCCTTTAAAACATTGCTTCTACTTAAGGTTAAGTATAAGGTTACATTATTTAAAGTACTTTATAAATGCCACAATTGCATGTTTTGAAGCTAAATATACAGAGCTAGGCTTTATCTATATTGTGTCATTAGAAACGAGGGCAGCGTGTTGATTATGTTCTGTTCTCATACAGCGAGAGTTTAGTGATGTCCACAACCTCAGGCTTATATTTAATTCAGAGGTGAGAGACGGGGTTTACGGAGCTGCCGCAGATAGTGCCTCACAATAAGCTTATACAGAGGGCAGAAATTCAAGACAAGCATCGCATACGATGTTGATGTAACCCTTGCATTGGCCATATTGCTAGATCAGGCCAGGGATCAACCTGTTAACTGTGAATGGGAGGACAGGGGAGGTTTGTACCCCACCCTGTACGTCCCATATGGAATCACTTACGAGAGGATTAACTGGTTTGCATGAAAGGGTGGAATGGGACACTTGGGGGAAAGCTTCTGTTCACCCTGACTAACCTGCAGCACAGTGGCGATGCTGGGCATTTCTGCCATATGTACATTAACTGACAGTCACCACTGATAAGCTACCACTAAATATTGTAGAAACTTAATTTGCTGTAAAGTTGCTTTGCAATGATTTGTATCGTGAAAAGCGCTGTACAAATAAACTTGACTTGACTTGAATATAATTCAGCAGAATTTTTTTTTTTCAATGAACCTGGGTTTTATATTTCTTTAAACACTGTCTAGGGAAGCAAGTCACTAGATTTTGAAACAGTACTGTAGTAAAATCAGCCCATGAATGACACACTGTTGTCTCACACAAGCGGGCTCATAAAAACCTGTGTGAAGCATGCAGAGATCCTTCCCTTAACTTGAGAGAAGACAATGTGAGGTCTTCAGATGCTTTCCTCTATGGAGGTCTGACTGGAAAGGATGCTGGTTAAAGGAAGAGGTGAAGTGTTCCCCGGGGGCAGAGGGGTGGAAGGGGCAGTGGGACATTAAATCACTCCAGATGGGACATGCTGTCAGAGAAAGGCTTCCCAACTCCCGCTGGGAAAGAACTTCCTTTCGTTATCTGAATTGCTTAGCAGGTCTGAGCTCACTGGATAAATTATAATGTCTCGCCTTCCAGTAATCCAGCACTCTGAAAACTTTAACTATCATGTACTCAATGTTTTTAGTGAAACATTTTTACACTTAACAAATTGAGTCATAATCTAAAGTATCAGTTATGAACTGAGTAAGTGAAAAATGTAAGTAGATTTGCATAACTTGTACCGTGACTAATTAAATTCAGTAGACTCAAGTTAAAGGAACACTCCACTATTTTTGAAAATAGGCTCATTTTCCAACTCCCCTAGAGTTAAACAGTTAAGTTTTACCGTTTTCGAATCCATTCAGCCGATCTCCGGGTCTGGCGGTAGCACTTTTAGCTGTAGCTTAGCATAGCTCGGCCTAGAAAATCTCAACTTTTCATTTTCCGTTGGTCTTAGTACTCGATGAAAATGACAAAAACACACAACAAAATTCTTAAAACTTTAACTGAAATTAAAATGAAAACAGCAAATATATAATAAATAATCTGGTGCTATTTTGCTGAGAGGGAACTGTGAAATTTGCTAATTTTCGTACTTTCTGTTTTTCGTCTGCAGGTATCAGAAGGTCGAGGGAACTGCACATGGCACAGGAACCCCAAACCCTGCACAATCCCACAGGACAAGGAGAGCATCTTCCACACCATTTTTGCTTTCTTCACCAAATCTGGCAGAAAAGTTGTGGTATGACAAAGGACTTTTTGGGTATATTGGCATAGTTCAGAGAAGGAATGGCATCCAAATGCATTTAGCACTTGGAAATAAGCCATATTTGCATATTTAATGTTGTTTATCCTGACTTTTTGTCAGTGCATATACATTAGAGCAGTGGATCACAGCATTTAATGCCCCATAAAACACTCATAAAAACCTAATTTCACATCAGTTTTTGTGCTGAACGGGTAAATCTTTGATGGTATCCTGTCTCAACAGGACTGTGACCGGCCTGGCAGAGCATGTCTAACTATTTCCTGCAGTCTGAGCTCTCAGGCTAAAGAAGAAGCCACGAGTATAGATGTGCGAATGCTACTAAACACTGAAATACTACAGAGGGTGAGTTATTGCCGTAATTAAGTAAGAAGTTATTGTAATGTCAATGCCAGTCTTCAGAGTGTGTGATTAAGACTTTAAATGTTGTAGAATTGAGGCTACAAGCTATTAAACTAGTTAAAATAATGTCAGGCTAACCTTAGTTATAGCTAAAACTAATTAGCTAACTAAATGATCAGCTGTATCTAAATTGGCAGCAGTAAATGCAAACCGGTAACCTTTAGTTAGATAAAAAGTATCTGGCTACATGACAAGCTACTGACAAAAAGAAGTTGATGAAATATCCTATGAAGATCTCATTTAGTGTGACAGATCAGTCATATTTCAACATATGAATTTACACTCAATTTAACTAATAAACCAAACAAAAAACACCCTTATTTTTATAACCTAATCAAAAAGTGATAAACAACCGTATTAACAAGATATTTTGCTACAAATATTTTGTCATAAAATGCCACTCAGTAGTAATGGAAACACTTGAGCAATGTCTAATTTACATTTAGTGTTGTTATTATTAGTTAAAAATATTAAACATTATTTTACAACATTTAAAATAAAGCTGAAATAAATAAAATATAAATATTAGATGATAAAACTAAACAAAGTTTAAAAACTGAAATTGAAACTTTAAAAACCTAAAAAATAGATATGTTGCCCGAACTGAAATAAGTTGAAGTACTAAAATTGCTTAAACGAAAATAAACTAAATAGAAATATTTTTTTAATTAAAAAAGCACTTAACAAAATTACTAAAACTTAAACTAAAATTAAAACTGAAAATATAATAATAAAAGCTAATTGAACATATTAATAAATACTATAATAGTATATAAATAATACTAAAATAACACTGCTTAATTGTGTAAATGTGTCTGTCTCAGTGTTATTTTATTATCAATGAGATAGTATAATAGTTTTTTTTCATTTTAATTTTAGTTCAAGTTTTAGTCATTTTGTTTTTGTGTGTGTGTTTTTGTCATTTTTAGTAGTTTATTTATTTATTTATTTTTTGTTAGAAGTCAATATGGTTTTTATTCATTGTTATTTAAGTTTTAGTTTGAGGTATTTTAGTACATTGAGTTAAACTAAAATAAAATGAGAAATGTTGCCTTGGCAGCTAGCTGAAAAAAAATATATATATTTTATAAACTAAATAGAAATATTTTTTCAATTAAAAAAGCACTTAACAAAATTACTAAAACTTAAACTAAAATTAAAACTGAAAATATAATAATAAAAGCTAATTGAACATATTAATAAATACTATAATAGTATATAAATAATACTAAAATAACACTGCTTAATTGTGTAAATGTGTCTGTCTCAGTGTTATTTTATTATCAATGAGATAGTATAATAGTTTTTTTTCATTTTAATTTTAGTTCAAGTTTTAGTCATTTTGTTTTTGTGTGTGTGTTTTTGTCATTTTTAGTAGTTTATTTATTTATTTATTTTTTGTTAGAAGTCAATATGGTTTTTATTCATTGTTATTTAAGTTTTAGTTTGAGGTATTTTAGTACATTGAGTTAAACTAAAATAAAATGAGAAATGTTGCCTTGGCAGCTAGCTGAAAAAAAATATATATATTTTATTTTAGTTAATGATTCATTTTATTTCATGTAACAATAATGTTTTTTGTTGTTGTTGTTGGTTTTTTTTATTTTAATTTCAGTTTTAGTTTTAAGTATAATAACCTTGATCTGTCTTGGTGTGTGGTTTGCAGGACAGCTCCTCTGTGATCCAGTTTGTGACACGAGGTCACGTCCAGCTGGACAACAGGGCCGTGGAGGTCTCAACCGGACTTCCAGAGGAGATTTCTGTAAGTGATCAAGCGGATAAATAATCCAATCCAACAGTCAAGCATTTCTTGCCAAGCATATTTGTACCATGACTGTAAACTAGAATCAGAGCTTCAGAGACTTCTGACATGCTGGTGGTTTTCATTGTAAGACTGAAAGTGAATAGATTATTGTCTTTGAAAGCAATCAGGACCCCTGATGCACGGAAGAAAATGAAATAGTCTGTTCGCATGATTCTGAGCTCATCCGCTGTTAGTAGCTACTGAGATCTGGGTGGGGTTTGCTGTTCATGTGGGAGCAGGGGGCTTTTTTTTACTCTACAGCTGTGCTTGAGAACAGTCACCCCTAATACCGCAGACCTCGGCGTGCCGATTGATTGGAGGAATATGGGACTGTGTTTCGGTGTCTGGTGCCATGGTACTCGCTCAGCCCTGCTCTCAGCTGATTGGGTTTCTGACCCACTTTTAGCCCCCTATTTGTAGCATAGAGGCCAATTCCTAATAGGGCTGTTAAAAGTGTCTGTGCCCCCTTCTGCCCTCAGCACTTAGGAAATGCATTGGTCCCAAAGCAATCCGTTATTAAGTCACACACGACGCTCCCTGGAGCAAACGTGGACATGCAACTCTCATTTACAAATGGCATTGCCCGCGTATAAGCATTAATACCGCACAGTCTTATAGCGTGTTTCAACTGTATAATTTCTGTCATGTTCACAGCCATCTGAACTAATTGGAAATGACAGACCAACTGTAAGCATTAAACCTTTATATGCTGCTGTATCATTATTTTAGTCAGCTGAACTCAACAAATGCTTGAGATATATTTAGTGCAATATTTATATCTTACACTTTAGTTTTCATTGTTAGGCAAGAATAAAAGTAAGTCTGATCATATAAAGACGGCATGCAGAGGAAGATATTATTGCTCTTTTATAGTTTTCATTGCTGACGTTAGTATCTTGCATTGTTTTTATTTTTTAACTAAAACAATTAAAGTCAAACTTAAAAGAACATTTTGCTTTGGCAACTAACTGAAAGAAGATCGGTTTAGGCTTAAGTACTAAAATTAATAAAAATAAAACCAATAAAAATAAATGAAAGCTAAATAAATAGAAATGTTAAAGAACCCCAAAAACTAATAAAAAATTACATGTATTAATGTTTATCCCAAAGACGACATGCAGAGGAAGATATTAATGTTCTTTTATAGCTGAGGTTGTGATTGGTTTAACTATCGATTTCACCTCAGATGTTCCTAAAAGGCTATAAAAAATATGCTGTACATAAAAGAGGCTAATAGTTGTCATACAGTAAGAGTATGGAACTCAGATAATTTGATATTAAAAGAATTTGGTGAAAAATATTTAAATTCATGCTGAAATTTTTGAGTTTTCATCGCTGACGTTAGTATATTGCATTGTTTTTATTTGTAACTCGGACTAAAACTATTAAAAGTAACATTTTGTTAATTTAAATAAAGCTGAAATAAAATGTAAATATAAAAAAATAAAAAATAATAAAATTTTGTCTATCTGAAATAAAATAAGGTTTAGGTTTAAGTACTAAAATTAATAAAACTAAAACAAATTAAAAAAATAACTAAATAGAAATGTAAAAAAATTCCAAAAAACTAATGAAAACAAAAGTATATAACAAAATTACTACATTTAAGTTAAAATATATTAAAAAAAAATGTAATGTAATGTTTTTTAAATCTTATTAAATACTAGAATAGTAAATAAAACTGAAATTATACTGGTATTTTGGCAACTGAGCAGTTTCAGATTAAGATCGCTTCTAAACTTATATTTTATCTCATTGCTGTTTCAAAGTCACATTATCTTTCGTTTGTGATTTTACTTGACTGGGGGCCGCAAATGGCAGGTTTTTGTTTTTTTATGTCATATTCAAGTAGTAAAATTGTGGTCAGAAGCTGAAGCGAGATTTATCTGGGCTGGCATCTCGCTCTAGACTGGGATTTACTGCTAGCTTTTCATGCAACATTTACATCCAGATTCATTGAGGGAACTGTTTGCTGTGTTTTTGTGGTTTCAGAGGTGAAATTCAAGCGGATAAATAATCCAATCCAACAGTCAAGCATTTCTTGCCAAGCATATTTGTACCATGACTGTAAACTAGAATCAGAGCTTCAGAGACTTCTGACATGCTGGTGGTTTTCATTGTAAGACTGAAAGTGAATAGATTATTGTCTTTGAAAGCAATCAGGACCCCTGATGCACGGAAGAAAATGAAATAGTCTGTTCGCATGATTCTGAGCTCATCCGCTGTTAGTAGCTACTGAGATCTGGGTGGGGTTTGCTGTTCATGTGGGAGCAGGGGGCTTTTTTTTACTCTACAGCTGTGCTTGAGAACAGTCACCCCTAATACCGCAGACCTCGGCGTGCCGATTGATTAGAGGAATATGGGACTGTGTTTCGGTGTCTGGTGCCATGGTACTCGCTCAGCCCTGCTCTCAGCTGATTGGGTTTCTGACCCAGTTTCAGCCCCCCATTTGTAGCATAGAGGCCAATTCCTAATAGGGCTGTTAAAAGTGTCTGTGCCCCCTTCTGCCCTCAGCACTTAGGAAATGCATTGGTCCCAAAGCAATCCGTTATTAAGTCACACACGACGCTCCCTGGAGCAAACGTGGACATGCAACTCTCATTTACAAATGGCATTGCCCGCGTATAAGCATTAATACCGCACAGTCTTATAGCGTGTTTCAACTGTATAATTTCTGTCATGTTCACAGCCATCTGAACTAATTGGAAATGACAGACCAACTGTAAGCATTAAACCTTTATATGCTGCTGTATCATTATTTTAGTCAGCTGAACTCAACAAATGCTTGAGATATATTTAGTGCAATATTTATATCTTACACTTTAGTTTTCATTGTTAGGCAAGAATAAAAGTAAGTCTGATCATATAAAGACGGCATGCAGAGGAAGATATTATTGCTCTTTTATAGTTTTCATTGCTGACGTTAGTATCTTGCATTGTTTTTATTTTTTAACTAAAACAATTAAAGTCAAACTTAAAAGAACATTTTGCTTTGGCAACTAACTGAAAGAAGATCGGTTTAGGCTTAAGTACTAAAATTAATAAAAATAAAACCAATAAAAATAAATGAAAGCTAAATAAATAGAAATGTTAAAGAACCCCAAAAACTAATAAAAAATTACATGTATTAATGTTTATCCCAAAGACGACATGCAGAGGAAGATATTAATGTTCTTTTATAGCTGAGGTTGTGATTGGTTTAACTATCGATTTCACCTCAGATGTTCCTAAAAGGCTATAAAAAATATGCTGTACATAAAAGAGGCTAATAGTTGTCATACAGTAAGAGTATGGAACTCAGATAATTTGATATTAAAAGAATTTGGTGAAAAATATTTAAATTCATGCTGAAATTTTTGAGTTTTCATCGCTGACGTTAGTATATTGCATTGTTTTTATTTGTAACTCGGACTAAAACTATTAAAAGTAACATTTTGTTAATTTAAATAAAGCTGAAATAAAATGTAAATATAAAAAAATAAAAAATAATAAAATGTTGTCTATCTGAAATAAAATAAGGTTTAGGTTTAAGTACTAAAATTAATAAAACTAAAACAAATTAAAAAAATAACTAAATAGAAATGTAAAAAAATTCCAAAAAACTAATGAAAACAAAAGTATATAACAAAATTACTACATTTAAGTTAAAATATATTAAAAAAAAATGTAATGTAATGTTTTTTAAATCTTATTAAATACTAGAATAGTAAATAAATTATACTGGTATTTTGGCAACTGAGCAGTTTCAGATTAAGATCGCTTCTAAACTTATATTTTATCTCATTGCTGTTTCAAAGTCACATTATCTTTCGTTTGTGATTTTACTTGACTGGGGGCCGCAAATGGCAGGTTTTTGTTTTTTTATGTCATATTCAAGTAGTAAAATTGTGGCCAGAAGCTGAAGCGAGATTTATCTGGGCTGGCATCTCGCTCCAGACTGGGATTTACTGCTAGCTTTTCATGCAACATTTACATCCAGATTCATTGAGGGAACTGTTTGCTGTGTTTTTGTGGTTTCAGAGGTGAAATTCTTCCTCATTTAAGGATCAGCAAGCACGTGTGCCATATAACACATATTGTGCATAAAACTGTGTATGTACGTACGTTATTCAGAGGGAAAGTTCATCCAAAACGTCATTCATTTAAACCAGATCTTAAAGCTGCGGTCCGTAACTTTTTTGTTTAAAAATGATCCAAAATCAGTATTTGAGCAAGTACATAACCAGCTAGTGTTCAAAACTATCGCCTTTAGCTCGATTCACAATGGTAAGCTTGTAATAAAGTTTTCTAGTTTGAGTGATACGGGTAGGTTTTCACAGGAAATTTGAGCATAGCGCTGCGTCATTACGTCATGTCTGTAAACATTAAGAAGTTGTCCCGGCTAGTATGCTATCGCACGTGAGGATGCTGCAGGTGACGGATCGTTTATAGCCTTTTCTCACAGCAGCTGGAATAAATGGCGGATTGAATTTGAAAACAGTATAACAATAATAATAATTGGCACGGCTTGATGTGATGTGAGCTAACCGATCGTTAGATTTAATCACCACTGATAGCACAATTTATTGTAATGCTTTTTTCCTCAGTTGATCAGAACAAATATGACAAGTTGTTATTTACTTGTTTAGATGACATTCTCCAGTGAGAACTCTTGGGTCATACTTTCAAGATGTAGAATCTGCGCATACAAAGTTATTAAATACTAGAATAGTAAATAAAACTGAAATTATACTGGTATTTTGGCAACTGAGCAGTTTCAGATTAAGATCGCTTCTAAACTTATATTTTATCTCATTGCTGTTTCAAAGTCACATTATCTTTCGTTTGTGATTTTACTTGACTGGGGGCCGCAAATGGCAGGTTTTTGTTTTTTTATGTCATATTCAAGTAGTAAAATTGTGGTCAGAAGCTGAAGCGAGATTTATCTGGGCTGGCATCTCGCTCTAGACTGGGATTTACTGCTAGCTTTTCATGCAACATTTACATCCAGATTCATTGAGGGAACTGTTTGCTGTGTTTTTGTGGTTTCAGAGGTGAAATTCTTCCTCATTTAAGGATCAGCAAGCACGTGTGCCATATAACACATATTGTGCATAAAACTGTGTATGTACGTACGTTATTCAGAGGGAAAGTTCATCCAAAACGTCATTCATTTAAACCAGATCTTAAAGCTGCGGTCCGTAACTTTTTTGTTTAAAAATGATCCAAAATCAGTATTTGAGCAAGTACATAACCAGCTAGTGTTCAAAACTATCGCCTTTAGCTCGATTCACAATGGTAAGCTTGTAATAAAGTTTTCTAGTTTGAGTGATACGGGTAGGTTTTCACAGGAAATTTGAGCATAGCGCTGCGTCATTACGTCATGTCTGTAAACATTAAGAAGTTGTCCCGGCTAGTATGCTATCGCACGTGAGGATGCTGCAGGTGACGGATCGTTTATAGCCTTTTCTCACAGCAGCTGGAATAAATGGCGGATTGAATTTGAAAACAGTATAACAATAATAATAATTGGCACGGCTTGATGTGATGTGAGCTAACCGATCGTTAGATTTAATCACCACTGATAGCGCAATTTATTGTAATGCTTTTTTCCTCAGTTGATCAGAACAAATATGAAAAGTTGTTATTTACTTGTTTAGATGACATTCTCCAGTGAGAACTCTTGGGTCATACTTTCAAGATGTAGAATCTGCGCATACAAAGTGCAGTCTCCACACCGGTGCGGTGACTGACAGCCACACATTAGATTCATCCGCGCTGGAGCCGCGCCGACTCACAACCCACGCAAGGAAGATAATTCCACAAATAGCTGCAATTGCAGGTTTTCAAACAGAGATGGCGACAAAGAGGCAAAACTTACGGACTGCAGCTTTAAATAATGACATCCAGCTGTAAACAAATGAACTCTTCCTGGCATTCTGTGATGATCTGGATTAATGAAAACCTTCACAAGACGTGTTTGACTGATTTGTTTACTTTAAGAATGAAATCTCATTTCCTTTTGATTGAGTCAACACCTAATATACTGTAGACTCAGCACAGACATTATAAAATTCAGGAAATGACACGGTGATTCATATAGTCTGTAAAGTCTGATCTTTGGTCCCACTGAGAAATGACGATCTCTAATGTGAATGTCGTGTCCCGTCTGGTGTGTGTATGTTCACTCTCTCTGTGTTGTCCTGCAGCTGGTGTTTGAGGCCCTTCACAGTCAGGAGCCCAGGGGTTACATTGTGGGATGGATCATCGCCATCAGCCTCCTCGTGGGAATCCTCATCTTCCTGCTGCTGGCGGTGCTGCTCTGGAAGGTAGCGCTTCCTCGATCAGCATCCTTGTTGCTTCTGGAGCAGCGTTCGGGTTGACACTGGATTTAGGGGCTTGAACAACATTCTTATTAGCCTAGGAGTACGTTAGGATTTGATTTAGGGTTGGCAAGAACGCAGCAACCATTATAACACGTTTAGAAATGTCATCACCCACACTTTTTGGGGAATAATCATTATCATATTTTGAGTTTCATAATCATATTTTGAGTTTCGGTCATTGTACAAAGAAAAAAATAGGTGCTGTCCACATATTGTAAAACAAGCAGAAGCATCTATTGTAGACATCACTAGGACTAGGCAGTAAAGAAGAATTTTAGAGTTTATTTTTTTTTTATTTATGATAGAAATGATGACAGAAACATATTACTATTGTATAATAAAATGTACTTGTGGGATGGATCATCGCCATCAGCCTCCTCGTGGGAATCCTCATCTTCCTGCTGCTGGCGGTGCTGCTCTGGAAGGTAGCGCTTCCTCGATCAGCATCCTTGTTGCTTCTGGAGCAGCGTTCGGGTTGACACTGGATTTAGGGGCTTGAACAACATTCTTATTAGCCTAGGAGTACGTTAGGATTTGATTTAGGGTTGGCAAGAACGCAGCAACCATTATAACACGTTTAGAAATGTCACCACCCACACTTTTTGGGGAATAATCATTATCATATTTTGAGTTTCATAATCATATTTTGAGTTTCGGTCATTGTACAAAGAAAAAAATAGGTGCTGTCCACATATTGTAAAACAAGCAGAAGCATCTATTGTAGACATCACTAGGACTAGGCAGTAAAGAAGAATTTTAGAGTTTATTTTTTTTTTATTTATGATAGAAATGATGACAGAAACATATTACTATTGTATAATAAAATGTACTTTTCAAAGTAATAATAATATTAAAACATTACATTGTGTTATTATTATCAATATTATTATTACTTTTAAAAGTACATTTTACTATAAAATATTAATATATTTCTGCCATAATTTCATCAATTTACAATATCAGTAAAGTAGTACTTAAAGTAGTACTACTTCAGTAAAAGTAGTACATTAAAGTAAATGTATCAGTAAAGTAGTAATAATAATAATGATGATTATTATTATTATTATTACTGCTAATACTATTAAATCATTGCATTTTGTTATTAGCATTATAATTACTTTGAGAATAATTAATATTTTAAGGATTATCATATAACCCAGATATTTTTATATATATACAGTGGGGGAAAAAAGTATTTATATATATATATATATATATATATATATATATATAAAATGTTTATATTAGTTCAGTTGCACAAAACACCATATTTGAGCAAAAATAAAAAATGCAATGGTTTGTTGTAAATTTATTGATATATTTTTTTAGTTGATTAGATTTGTAAATTTAACATTTCTTGAAAAAAAAAATTTGGAATTTATTTCAGATAATACATTTGCTTTAAATGATAAATTACAGAATCCAGAAAAAAAAAATCAAACAGAATTAGGTGGGAAATAACAATGTAATTAAATTTAGCTGCTCTGTGGAGTTTAGTTGTAAACAAACAAGTTTTTACATTAATTCTTGAGGTCTAACAAGCATGTGGAAAGCATTTCCTTCCCCATTAATGACATATTTAAATTAGTTTAAACATCAATATCATATGATATGAAAAAAAAAAACCTTGTGAAAATATTTTGGGCCATATTGCCCAGCCCTACTAACCACTCACTTCAGCATATGACTGAACCTGGTAAACGGTAATCTGCTACTGTTACTACACACTTAACTGCTATATGACACCTAATTAATATTCATGATCTCAGCTGAGAAGTTTTATAATATGCACCACACACTTTTCAGATCATTCCTAATGCCTTGAGGATTGAGATCATGAGCTTAAACGACATGATCAACCTGTCATTTCTCACTGATTTTAAGATTAAAGTCGTGTTTAAGGATGATAGAAACATTATTCCAGAACCACCAGAAAATGCTGAGCCCTGCAAATACACATCAGACTTTCTACTAGATATCCGTCCTCATTGGTCCACAAAACACAGACTTCCAGATGAAGTTGTTTGCTTGTCATGTTCACTTTGTCTTTTCAGTACAAACCACATGCCTGAGATGGTTCCTGTTGGACAGCAGTTCAGCTCTTGCAAAGTCAGTGTGAGCGGAGAATGTGACCTGTCAGGTCATCACATCTTGAAAGAGCAGAACCACCTGCTCATGTGCAGCGTCCCATTACAGTTAAATTAGCATCAGGCTGCTTTTAATATCCTCTGCCAAAAAAGGCACAGTGAAGCGGATGTGTGTCAGTTTTGAAAGCTATTTCCTCAACTAGACTTTCAGAGGGTCACACGTCCCTCATTCACACACTACTGTTGTTTTTCTTGGCCCGGGGGGTCAATAGAGAGTTTTAGAGCGATCGTAAAGTAACAAAACACAGCGCTGACAATAATTTACACGTACACATAAAAGTGAACCGAACTGATTTCAAGGCTTCTCAAACAAGTCCTTCTTTTTCTTTTCCACTCCATTACTTTCCAGCGGGAATACTAGAGCAAATCCTGGAATGTTGGTGTAGGGATACTTTTCCCCCCAAATCCCAGATCTGCCAAAATAAACCTCCTCAACAAGAGCTGCACATGTCCAGCTACTCCAGCGTCAGGAAATGCCTGGAGAGAGCCGGGGTCTGAATCAATAACCCACATTCAAACAAAGACAAACCTGTCGAGTCACAGGAAGAGGAACAGCACGTTTCCTGCACTGACGCTCTTCTTTACAGTAGCGCCATCTGTGTCGCCCATCCCGCTAGTTATCTGACTCCCACCCGTCCATTGGCTCCAACTTCACAAAGGGATAGTTTACCCAAAAATGACATCATTTACTCGCTCCTATGTTGCTCGGAATCTGTGTGACTTTCTCTCTTCTGGGAAGCACTAAAGCTCAAGAGCCAGTTTTTTTGATACAATGAAAAGCACCATATTCACTTTACATTTCGCATTTTCTTAAGTGGTATTATAACTCCAGGCATCAATTACACCTAATATCTTTAGTCATGTAAATTTAGAGGGTGTATAAATATTTTTGGATACCTATATATGATAAAGCATTTCTCTTACAGTTTGAATATCAATCACGAGGGATTTCATTAAATCATGAAAACTTATGAAACCTTAACTTGTGTTGGGTCAAGGCCCCAAAAATGTGCTGTATTTTCATAGACTCATTTTAATTTGATATTTTCATCTCCATACATGTGACAGCAGGATTGCATTAGGTCGGGTGGATCTGATCTGCCAGTCAAAGTTTCCACTGCCATTCAAAAGTTTGGGATCAGTACAATTTTTAATGCATTTGAAAGAAGTCTCTTATGCTTGTCAAGGCA